TGTTATAAGACGAAGTGGTACTTAAATGGGCGTTCAGCAACACAGAAAGAAGTATTGGACAAGTGTACAGAGTATTGTATAATGGTCGACAATTTGTGCCAATTTCTTCCACAAGAACGAGTGTCTGCGTTTTCATCACTCAACCCAGCAGAGTTACTCAAAGAAACAGAAAAAGCAACAGGGACGAGTGACTTAGAGGAGAATCACAATAAAATCATTGACGCACAACAAACCCTTGGGGAGTTAGTGAAGAAGAGTGGACAGCAACAGAAGACGGTGCAAGAGATACAATACAGAGTGCAAGGGTTAGAGAAGAGTGTTGGCGAGAAGAAAGAACAAGAGCGGCGACAGACTCGCTTGAACAACTTGAAAATGAAAAGGCCTTGGGCGATATTTGAGGAAGCGCGAAAGAAGGCGGTTGACATGAGAGACCAGAAGACTTTTGTTCAAAACAAATTGAAGAAATTGGAAGAGGAGAATCGACCAGTGGAAGAAGAATACGCCAAGGTGAAAGGAAAAATTGATTCGGAAGAGAAGAAGACACTTGACTCCAATAGAAGCTATGACAGCAATGAAAAAGAGTACGGGAGAGTTGTTGGGAGAAAAGAAGAGTTGGACAACAAAATCTCATCGAAGAGGAAAGAGATAGAGCTGACCAAAAAGCGACGAGACGAACGGGTAAAGACCTTGACCGACTTGACTGCACAAGTCGAAGTCTTACAAAAGAAGATTGATGAGTTACCTTCATTGGATGAACTCAAGGCACAAGCCGACTCGAGTTCAGTGGAACTTAAAAAGGTACGAGAAGATATCATTAGCATTAGTGAGAAGGACGGACAAGTCGAAGAGGATATACGAGAAAACAGTGGGAAAGTACTTCAACTGAAAAAGGAACTTGGGAAATTGAATGACATCAAACAGAACCGATTGAGAAAAGTGTTTGATGTCGATCCTAATGTGTACCAGGCTTATACTTGGATCGAACAGAATAGAAACAAATTTGAAGCCGAAGTGTATGGACCTGTCTCTGTCGAGCTCACGGTATCCAAAGATGAGTATGCAAACTATGTCGAAATGGCAGTACCAACAAACGTTTTGAAAGGGTTTGTGGTCACTAACAAAGCCGACCAAGAGAGAATTATCTCCACTTTAATTGAAGAGAAGGGGCTACAAATTCAAGTGTTCAAACGCGAGGACCTCGACAACGAAGCGACACAAGCAACTCAAATGAGAGTCGCAACAGAATGTGGAGTTCTTGGGACGTTGGATAGTGTTGTCAATGGTCCCCGACCCGTTCTGAAAGTTGTTGAAGACTTTGCGGCGCTTTCAAAGAAGTTTATTTGTACGAAGGAGACGGAAAAGAATATTGAGAAGATTGCACCGGGTACTTATTACACGCCGTCCTCTGTTATTGTCAAAGTGAAGTCGCGGTATTCGTCTGCTGTCTCGGACAAAGTCAATAATATTCGAAAGGCAAGATTTTTATCAACAGCGATCGACACGTCACGAAAGGAACAACTTGAGACGCAAATTGTTGGGTTGGCGACAGCGATTGAAGAGTCGAAGAAGAAGAGAGAGGGGTTCGCGACAGAAATGAAACAAGTTGAGAACAAGAAGAGGGAGTTGTCTACTGTTGTTGAGAGTTATTCGAGAGCGAAAGGAGAGAAGGAGAAATTAGTGCGAATGAAAAGCACGAAGCAGAAAGAAATTAAGTCGCTTGACGCGGATGAGGACCACGAGGAAAAGATCGAGCAGCTGCAACACCAAGTTGTCTCGTATCAAACCGAAGAGAATGAAATAGTGTTGAAGGTTGGGGCGTTACTGATCAAAATGGCGACTGCTCGGATGGAAGCGAATCCATCGAATTGTATCAATCGAATATTGAGAACAAAATTGAACCATCTGAAAATACGGCTCAACGAGAATAAGAAGAATCGAATTGAAGTTGAGGAGGAGATCAAAAGGATTGGAGACGCATATATCAAAGCAAAGGACGAAGCGGTTCAGAAGAAAAAAGAAGCCGAGAAAGTCTGTGTGCTCAGCGACGAACTCAATGAGATATTTACACAACTTCCAGACGACTTAAACGAGATTGAAGATGAGATCCAGGCGGAGGAGAGTAAGTTAAAGTTTAGGACTGACATTGAAGATAATGTGGAGCAAATGTATGAAGCTGCTAAGGAGGAGTTGAGTATCAAAATGGGTGAGATGCAGTCGATGACAGACGAAATAAAGAAGAAAGAAGACGTTATGAATGTCATCAAGAACGAGTGGCTTTCTAAAGTGAAGGAAGTAGTTACGAACATTGACACGACGTTTAGAGTGTATATGAACCAAATCAACTGCCGAGGGACTGTTGAGTTGGAAGAGAAAGAGGAATTTGACAAGTACGGTATTGTCATTAAAACCCAATTTCGAAAGGAGGGTTCCCTCCAACAACTCAACGCACATACACAAAGTGGAGGAGAGAGGTCTGTTGCGACCATGTTATATTTACTGAGTTTGCAAGAACAGACATTTTGTCCGTTTAGGCTGGTTGATGAAATCAACCAAGGGATGGACCCGTTGAATGAAAGAATGATTTTCTCACAAATAGTCAAGGCGGTGAACAAGGAGAACGCGCAACAATACTTCTTGGTCACACCGAAACTGCTCAGCGATTTACCATTTGGAGAAAATATGACCGTACTCTGTGTCATGAACGGAGTGATCGACAACACACCATACGATTTTGGGAGAGTCATCGACGCATTGAAAGAGTCAAATGATTGATTTGTTCTATTTTTTGATGTTGGATATGGTTAATTTATAGTAACATAATAATAATTATATAGTTTCATAGACGGTATTTTGAGGCGATTTGCAATAGAGAGTCTAGTAATACTAATATAGTAAAAAAACGAAAAAATTAACTTCTTTAAAAGAGGGAAAAAACTACATGAGAAAATGTGAAGTTAAAAAAAGTTTTTCCTTTTTGACTTTTTTCGTTTTTTTTTGCTGGCTAAGAGTAATTTTCCAAGGAAAACTACTTCAATTGGAGAAAAAAAAATCGGGAAATATCACACAAATTAAATACTGCCTTTTCGAGTCTTTATTTGACAAAATGATTAAACCCCTCCATTATGGTGTTTGAAGAACACAAACCGTTACTTTTGTCAAAAGAAAAAGAAGAGCGTTGGACAGGTAAGAGAAAGAAGATGACAAACTAATGCAAGGCCGAAGAAATTAAATATTTAAAAGTTGAAGCAAAAATACGGGAAATAAAATTAAAAAATCCCCCCTTTTAACATATTTTATCCCCTAAAAAGATATGAAACACACAAAGGTTTATGGTCTTTGAAATACCGAAATTGACATTGGTGTTGGTGTTGGCACATTTCCCGATATTATAAATGAAAATTGCATAAAGTGTTAGTTATTTGGAAAAGGGTGTTTTTAAGGGGCAAAATATACCTTTTTGTTGAAAAAGCGTCGTGCGGAAATTGACCATAAATAGGTTGGAGCACCATAACAAAACAGATTGAATTGTTAAGTGTTTTCATCGGAATTTTTGGATAGAAAGAGACAAAAATAGCCTTTTCTCCACATTAATTTTTTTGCTTTTCGTGAATTAATTGGAAAATTTTTTCAGTATTTTTTGTAAGAAAATAGTCAATTGTTTAAGTTGAAAAAGATTTCAGATAACGGGATAAAAAGGTATAAAAACTACTTTTGAGAAAAGTAGTAGAAAAAATATGAAAAATGTATTTTTAGCAGAAGAACTCGTCCCTTTACGAAACCACAGTGGCATTTACTAATATTCTAAGTTTGAGGTTGGAGGGGTGTACTTTTATAACTTCGTGTGGAACAATCAATGGGGTTGGGTATTTAAACTACTTTTTAATTCAAACCTTCAAAGCAATCAATGAGCGCTTCAGTTAAGTTGAGTGACTCCGAACGACTTGCAGTCAACTACGTCGTGACCAAAAACTACATGGTCCAACAACAAGCTTTACTCATCGCTTTGTTGAACCAGAACTATACCATCACATTAAAAATGCCTCGGAAGAGATCCGAAAAGACTGAAAACCTGATGAGAATCTTAATGGTCAGTGATGGTATCCAAGAGCTGGAATTCACAAACGTGGTCGAGAAAATCTGTCGTACAAAAATGGCTTTTGATCGGTCAAAAGGTGTCTCTGAAAAAACGTCTTACAGAAGATTCACTTATAATAAAGTTATCGAAGCACACCACCTTTTGATGGACTTGGTTGGCTTAGATGGCATTTTGTTTGATAGTTATTATTCTTCTGGTAAAAACCAAAGCAACAGAACCGAGACTATCATTGGTATACTAAGAAGTGTTGGACAAATTTGGTTCAACGAGTCAGATATTTCCATTTTGGGAACAAGAATTAGTGAGTGGTTGTATTCACAATTGGAAACGCAGGAAACTTTAGTACTACAAAAAGAAGATATGCACATCTGCAGTCTTTTGTCCAAATAAAACATGTTTCATTATTTTTTGTTTTCAGTTTACAAATAGTTTTTGATTTTGTTTACTATTTGAATAATATTCTATAGTCATTGGAAAATGGTAGTGATTATCTTTTTGTTGTTTTCATTAATCTAAGCCACGAACCGAAAAGAAAACCCTTCAAATTGATATTTGAATTGACACATCAAGAAAGAATGACAAACGCAACTCGACATTGTTTATTTTAACAAGAATTTCCAATCTTTGTTGTTTGATTTTTATAATAAGTGAAAACAAATGGGTGTTATAGAAACAGTACCAAAAAAACAATCAAAGCAACCAAAGTGACTTTAAAATATTTGTATTTTGTTTACAAATAATAATTGAACAAATTTTTTTGGAAGTAGTTTGTTTTAATTAAAGTTGGTAAAAAGTGACCAACCACATTATTAATTAATTTTAATAATAATTATTTTTCTCTCGGTTTCAATGATTTGGGATTTGTATTCCACGAATTTAAGTTTAAATTATTATACACTACACTTATCTGTTTATAAATATTATTAATAGAAGTGCCCAAATATTTACAACAT